ACACCAAATCACCAATATCTAGTTGCTTTGCTTCTTCTAATATTCGAGTACCTGCGCACATACTTAATACGGAGTACTTTCGATCCGTTAAGTTGATTGACTTCACACTTACGTGGTTCCATGTGGCTACTACCAGAAGTGGGTCAAACCAGTCACTTGCATTTTGAAGTCCAGGCAGGAGTCGATGACTTACTCCAATAAGAAACCACATCAAAATATGTCATCTTTTCAGCTATTTTTTTTATAAAACATTTGCCAAATTAATTGGTAATTTTGTATTTTTAGGCGAGAATTGAATATAAGGGAATGGTATAAACTTTTCCAATTAATTAGGCATTTACGCTTGTAATGAAAGTTATCCCTTTCAAAATTGAGTTAACCCTTAATTAGAATAAGGTTAAAATAAATATTTTATACGTAGTATGAAAAACTTTGCAAAACAAGGAAATGATACTATGAATTTGGGAACAAATCGAAGGCATGCATGAAACTATCAATTCCGAAATACGTAGTATAAAGTGTATCCGAATTCGACTATACAGGCATATTCCAATTTAACGTTAATTTGTATTGGTTTTTGCTAATCAGTATTCATTAACACCAAAATATATTGTTAGTTGTATTATGTTTAGCATTCCCTCTATCTCAAAAAAGTTTGGCAAATTGACTTTTCTTGATCAATAACAATCAACTTTGACCAATGATATTTTGTAATACGAATTTATTTTAGATATGAAAAATATATCAAAATGTTCTTTATTCAAAATATTGTTATAAACATATAAAATTTATAAATTAAATTAGCGATAGACATGGAGTACAGTTACATAGTTGTATACTATGTATATGATATGATATGAATGACGGATGTATATAGAAATAACAACGAAAAAACGATTAATTCATTCTTTGCAAGTTCAAAATTTTACAAATTTAAAGGTTATAAATTTGGTTTTATTACAGTTTTTTATTACAAATTTCATTTTAACATTTACCTTTTAATTTATGCAATCTTTTCCCAACACACAGACACATAGAAATTAAAGTTAGAAACACATTTGGTTTTCCCTAAATTATTATGGAGTACAAAAAAGATTATATTATGAACACAAATTAAGACTACATATATGAGCATATTGCTCACTAGGTACTGTAAAATGATGGTTAAATAACTTATTAAATGGAAATAGGCATAGTGACCAATATGATCATTGTGCATTGAAAATATACGTTATATGATCATTGAAATTTTTACTTTAGTCATTTATCTGACTTCACATACTAGTGGTGTACACGTGCGTTTTCTTCAACTGTGTTCATGTGTGAACATTCAAAATTTTGAAAATAAAATGTAAAAAACATATAAACATTTGATGTAAAAATATACTCGGTATTCTATGATAATATTGCCACAATGCCACCCTTAGCTTAATTAATTAACCCTGTTTACTAGTTTTTTTTTTACATTTCTTCAATTGTTGGATAAAAAAATTATTATCATTCAATATTGTACTGATTAAATAATTTTCAACACACAATATATATTTGCAAGATACTTCATAGTTCATACTACTAATGTGTGTTCAAATTCGGAATACCTTTAATTCATTAATTTATTGATAAAAAATGCGTCATGGAAAGACGTTTATTTGGGCGATCGATAGCTGGTAGGACTGATGCATTATTAAGTGTGATTTTGTGTGCATTCCTTCTTGCTTTGCTTCTACTGTTCTACAGTACATTATTCCCATTATGCAAAGTCGTTAGTCCTTTATATTTACTGAGAAATGCTAGAGGTACACACTTTGTGTACACACTTTGTGTACACTCGTCTGTCTCTTAAGAAAATTTTGTCTGTCACAGATAATTCATATATGAGTTGTCTGTGACAGACAAAATTTTCTTAAGAGACAGACGAGTGTACACAAAGTGTGTACACAAAGTGTGTACCTCAAGCATTTTTGATATTTACTTATAGCAATTTGATATTGAGAGTTTAACAATAAAATCGTTTCTCTTGTGTTTTATTTGAACTCATACCGACCTTCGGACAATTTCATTGTAATCACAGAATTACGTAATACAATTAGCTTCTGAGTTAAATCTTAATTCACTGTTGTCCCATTTTACATGTCTTACTTTCCTTTTTGGAATGTCTCAATAAATATCACATTTTCCTTTTTGGAAAGAAATATGTGGTTCTTGACATTTCACTTTACCATACTCAAATTCCAACCACAAATTTTACCTTTTCAATCATTTTATTAAAGATTGTGACAAAACCAAATGAGACACATAAAATGGGACGGAGGTAGCGTTAATTAATAATCCATTACACACAAAACTTGAAGTTTAAGCATATTCATTTATTGTTACTCCGTCAAGTTTAAGCATATTTATTTATTGTTACTCCGTCTTAATCAATACTTGGAGTATTATACGGAGTAATTTATACGGCTAATTTATACCTAGTGAGTATGCGTGCATAGATGAGTGATCCTCATAGGCCGGCCTCTTTTAGGATCTGTCACTCGAGTGCAATTTTGTTCATCCCCTTCTTGGAGGGTGAGCATAACCTCCCTTCCTATTTGCTTGCCATGTGGCAAAAAAAGAAATGAAATGTCAAATGGCAACATTTGAGCTATGGGGGTGATGTTCACCCTCCAAGGAGGGGTGAACAAAATTGTACTCCTGTCACTCGGCCGCCTCGATGTAAGACCTCATGGTGGAATTTACTAACAGAACTTTGTAACCGGTAGGCGTAGCTCAACTGGTAGCGAGAGAGTGCCACAAGGGTTAAGTCTCGGGTTTGAATCCCGGCAACTGTGATAAGGGGACGGAGCTCCACTCTCTATCTGTCAGGTTGTGATTATAGTCCAACTTACTATGCTGAAAAATGCATAGGGCCTCTGCAAGTATCGGGGGCGGAGCTCTACTCTCTATCTGTCAGGTTGTGATTATAGTCCAACTTACATCCTCCCATCGTGCTATCCGGACGGTGTTGGGGGGCCCTCAGGAATGAGGTGTCATCCTTTTTTTACTAATAGAACTTTGTAATCTAAACGAAGTTTTGTAAGGTACCTCATGGTGGAAGTTTAGATTATGCACACAAAATTACAGCTCCAAATTGAATAAAAAAGTTAGTTAAATAAATTATTGAAAAATTTCGTATTTTTATACCTATTTTGGCGAAGTGATTTTTAATAGTTTATTTAACGGACTTTCCGATTGAATTTTAAGGTAGATTATTGTGACGATATAATCTACACTTCATGAAGAACATGTTCACAAAATTTCATCGAAAAAATCTATCGAAAAAATCTATCGAGAAGCACTTCAATTAGAGGCGGCGGGACGACGGATCCTATTAAAGCCTCATAGTACTACTCCGACCCCAAGAAAAACCGTCTATTGCTAGTTGCTTTTTAGCATGTAGAAGTTAAAATCTTGAAGGGTGAAGAAACTTAGAATTACGCAATAAATTAAAGTTAGTAATCATATACGTTGATTACTACATCCATTATTCATAACTTTGCCCTCTTTGACTTGTCAAGTTAATGGTAGTAAAGTTTGGATCATGATTTTAATTAGTGTAATATTATTGGAATTATAAATTTTATAATTTTATGAAATTATTCTTAACAAAAACCATTTTCATATCATTTTCATATTATAATTAATTTCTTGTAAAAGTATATAATTGATCAAAATTGACAAAAAAAATCAAAGATGGCAATTGTTTTATAGATCAAGGGAGTGTAAAACTAAAGTTAAATGTTAAAAAAATCAGCACATAAATTAAAAATGAATTTACTTTAAAATACTAACCAGGACAAGTAACATAGAAGCAAGATTTGAATTAAGTACTCAATAAATTAAAAAAAAGTACTCAATATGTAATAATTTTAAAACCAATTAATTAACTATGGTCAAAAGTCAAAACTCAAACTTCAACATGACAGGTTTGCACCAATTGATACTTGGCAGTTGACCCAACTAAAATACTGTCCGGACTATATTGTCCTCCAAAGCTCAAATAAGCTGGACAGTTTGCAAACAAACGGTACCTCCCAGACACAAACGTCCCAACTTTCCACCTGATCCTTCCATCAACCCTAATATGGATCAGCACCGTCCCGGCGTTCTGGTCTTGGCCGAGTTCCACCGCCAGATACGGCGCAACCGGGACGGAGCTCCCACTAAGAAAGGGCGACCAAACAGTGACATCTTTGTGCCCTTGATACGATTCCGGGAGGAGGGTGGGGAGAGTGACTTGCTGGCCTCGGTAGGTGGCGAAGACATCGAGGCGGTCGTAGAAGATTCCGACCCGTTCGTTCGGGTTGCGAGCTGCTACCGTGATCTGGATGGCGGTTGAGAGCGCGTTGGGGCCCATCACTCCCGGGCCGGTGACGTTGAAGGCGTAGACGGTGGCGTCTTGCAGGACGAAGCTGGGTTTGGTGGGGCGGAGGATGAGCCAGGTGAGGAAGACAATGAGTAGGACCAGAACTATGAAGCATGAGAGGACAATGAGGAGGCGGCGGTAGAGCCTCCGCCGCTCATGATGGTGGGGACAGTCGTCCTTGGTCGTCATAGGGTGGCAATGTCGAAGCAAACTAGTGCATGTTTGGCTGTGATAATGGAACTAAGGCAAGGACTAAATATAGAGTTATTATTATGGCACTATACGTTATCACTAGAAGAGAAATGGGTTCTCAAGGCGCTTTATATAAACTTACCGCGACGCTAAAAAGCGTCGCTAGTGCTTTTACCGACACTTGTAAAAGCGCTGGCTTTGCTTGTGTCGCTAGCCGTTTTTACGATGCTAAGTGTTAGCGTCGGTATATAATTCTAAAAGCGTTGCTATAGTTGAGGCACTTTTCATCAACCTATCAAGGCACACAATTAGCGTCGCAAGATACTCAACTTCAATTTCCTTTCTAATAGCACCGAATTCAATGAATATTAATATTGCACCTATTAATTTCATAAGAGATTATACAAAACTAATCACTTGGAAAGAACAAATGGTTTTTTATTAAAATGTATAATTAAATTATTCAAGAACTTTAAGGTACTTTGACATCACAATGACCAAACAATGCTGGAATCATACTACTTTTAATCCATAAAGTTAAACTAAGCAAAAAGTATCAAGGATTCAAGATATCCATTATTTATTAGTTTATTACATTGATCCAAAACCAATCCTCATCATTTGATCTTCAATGCTTGTATATAAAAATCTGCAATAATAGAATAGAATAAATAATGAGCAATTGTTATTAAAAAATAAACACACCATCTAACCGTGGCATTAGAAACAATTTTATACAAACTATCTGTCATCATCTTTTTCTATATTTCCTCCTTTTCCATCTCTCCTATTTTAACAACATTGACTACCTCTACAACTTTACTCTTTGATTCCAAAATAACCCTAGAGCAACTAGAATTTAGAAATATAATTATTTCTTTATTTTTAAAAAATACTCTTGACAATAACTTTAAGGTATTTTTGCTCATTCAACACATTAGGACATTTCAACCAAACCATCAATAATTCATCAGATTTTACTATCTCATCCCATATTTACTATCTGTAAACTGATCCTAATATAATAAATTAATATAATAAATTAAAAGAAGAGGAACTTACCCATAAAGACGAAACCATCTCAAGCAGCTATGGTAGAACCTGCACATTAAGCAAGAAAAAAAAAATGTTTTCATGGTAGAATTGTCAATCCGAAGTAACACATAAGATGTCAGCTATACTCAATCAATGTCGTGTTTCTAATTTTCCAAAGACATCATTATAGTAATAACTATCTTGTGGAAACAAGTACATACATTCCAGCATCTATAAGAATCTTTGAAGTTCCAGATGATCCAAGGTGTCGAATGAGAATGCTTGTGTTATGTCTCTTGTTTTTGTTGACATGATCAATAACCTGTGAGCACACCTGTAATTAATTGACTACTAAATTTGCATACTTAATACTTCAAATATAAGTTTTAAGCAATTGACTCCAGATATATGAGGCAGCTAACTCGGACAATAAAATGCGCTGGACAAGTAAATTGCAGACCATACATCTATAAGAGACTTTACATTTACACATAAATGTAGTCAGTATTTTCTCTGATCTCTTCTTAAATCATTTACTAACTTCACAATAGTTAAACACGTCATAGTGCACAACTGTACATTAGTACTTACTGACACTTATTACTATGTCAAGAGGGAAGGAGATAGTGGGACTAACTTATGTTTGGACAAGTTTTAGACAAGAAAAACAAAGTCAAGTATTTCTGGGATAGCTTATGACATTTTATAATAGAAGAATAAATAAAGCATTGGCAGATCAAATAAGAGAGTAAGGAAGTAAAGCCGTAAAGGGAGGACAAAAAGACATTACCATAAGAGATGAAGAGTAGTTCTGTTTATGATATTTATAACATCTCCAACTTGGTGTGGAGTATAGTGACTCTCTCTCATCCACCTATACTTGTTGAAATTCTAAAGAGTTTAGGATCACAAATTTTAAACAGGCTATATAAAATAATACGGAGTAAAAATAATAATAACACAAAGAAACTGGCCTTAGTTAGAGGCCAAAAACATGAAATAGTGTCAATAACACAAAGAAACTGACCTTAGTCATCATAGTAAGTAGTGTTTTCAGATCCATTTCCATAGGCTCCACCACCACCATAACCACCACCACAACCACCGCCATAATCACCACCAGATCTGATTAAGTGTCAATATAAACCTCCATAAGCCAAAATATACTACACCCCATTGGATTTGGTGGTACATTGGTACATGATAAAATGGCATACAAAGTTATTATATGAATATTACAAATATGAATGAAGGAAATGTATATTTCAACTTTAACAAATATGAAAAATGGTTCTAATATAGTTGCTCCTGCACCTCACCCCCAAACTCAGCCAGGCAGTGTTTTCCATTATCAGTACCAGTAGTGAAGCAGTGTAACCCTGAAATCAGGCCGGAAACTTCCATGAGGCCACCACCCATTAAGCTGCCCATTTCCCTCAAGAATGCTTGTACATATGCTTGACAAACAAACGTATCATGGAGGGTGGAGTTGTTTTAAATGAAGAACTTAAGTCTTAAAAGAAGAATCATTTGTACCAATAACAATGGAAACTAACAGATACGAGACTCCAAAGCTCTAAGCCTCTAACGCAGTTCTAATAGATATAACTTGTAACACTCAGTAGGGTCTTCCATCTTCTGTATAGCCACTACCAAAAAATTAGGGCCTTTCATCTTCTTCCTAAAATGAAGCGAATGAAACTAAAAATGAATGAACAAAAGGATCTTATATTCAAATGCAAAAAATGAAGGAATCAAAGCAATTAATCATCACATTACACCTAAGCAATTAACTATCACTGTAATTAAATTCATGGAAAACAGAATGAACAAGTACATAAACGGAATTACTGCTCAATATCATAAGAATTCATCGGAGAGAAAAATAGATCACAGGTTATTCATTGTAAAAAACTAATACATATCAAAATTGAGTATGCCTTCTAAGAAGATGGACACTTCAATTTACAAAATAAGAAAATGAAAGATGTCAAAGACTCAACTTCACAAAACGAAAATATAATAGGAAAATCAGAAAATAAACGACTTCTTCTCCATTCATATGCCTAATGAACAAAAGTGAAGTTCTAAAAACGAAACAGTGGAAACAAAAAGAGATTGAAAATACCAGTTGAAAGACTTCATGGGTTGGATGAGGTCAACGAGATTGGCATAACCTTTGATAAGATGATCGATTTGTTCTTGATAGATCCCATCAAGTCTGCAATAAAGAGAATAGATTAGTTAGTACTGATACTTAAAATGACTCAGTATACAAGTATACAATATACAAGATTAGTTAGTTCATACCTTTGACAATGACATCATCACATTTAGGATTACAATATACAAGTCTGACTTCAAAATAAGGAAAAATTATAATTTCAATTTAGGAATTGGGATCTAACATTCAACATTCAGTTTGGGGGAGAAGTAATTTCAGGTATAAGCGAAAGGAAAATGGTGAAAATTGGAATTGGTGAATACCTCTATGAATTTCACATTAGGTTTACAAAATTCAGGTTGTGGTTTGTGAATGAAGAGCTGAGGCTAATCCTAGGAGAGGTGGCATGGAGCTGTACCGTGAAGGGTTGGAGGCGTTGTGCCGCTGCCGCCATGAAACTGTGAGCCTGGAGGCGTTGTGCCGGTGCCGATGGAAATCCTGGGAACTGCATCGCTATGAATCCGCGACAGAGGCACGGAGCAACGGCGGGCAGTGAGCCGGCGGCGTTGCATCGACTCGAACATGGGAGGAGAAGCGAGCGGCCAGAGGTTAGCGTCGATCTATTTGGGACGAAGGTAGTCTCGTTAAGAGTACTTAGCTAGTTTTAAGTTAGGTTTGTCGGGATATTTTTAGCATCGGCCAGATATAAGTGCCCTGTGCCCGTGAAGAGTAGGAGCGCTTTTAGTACAAGTGCTTCTGATCGGAAAAAAGCATACAAGGAACAGACAATTTTTCATTCAAAAAAGAAGGAACAGACACTTTTCGTAAATGCGCCGTTACACATGCGCCTCAAAAGATCGATTTCCTAGTGGTGTATTAGGTGTTGGGAGGTTAGTGCGGTTTGTTGTAATGTGATGACATAGGTTTATCGTAAAGAAAAAGCTCTAGGTTAGGTAGTGTTTGTAACAACAATTGACCGTGTAACATTCACATGATATACCTCCCTTTTACAACTAACATGTAAATTCACAATTTGAATTCTTTTGAATCAAATTTGGTTATCTCTAACTTTTAATTATTCAAAAACCCTATTATTTTATAACATAAAAACAATTTTGAATACTTCATTTTAATGGACAATGTTATACGTAGTACTATACGTGTAAATTAAGAATTTGTTCTAAATGAGACTAAAACATTAAGAAAATACCAAAGTAAGACTACAAGTTTATTATTTCCAAAATAGGACCCCAGATTACATTTTTGCCCTCTCCAACATTAATTCAATTCACCGACTTCTCTCCGAATCAATTCCGTTAATCTGCAACTTCTCTCCTGGCCTTGGAATTGCAATCCTTCGTCTGCGATTGAACGCAAGGATTGTGCCTGCGACGGAACGCAACTCCTACATCATCAACGGCGGCCGCCCTCCCCATCGACGCCAATCACACCTATTTTGCCGGCGAAAATAGGTAATCCTCTCCAACTTTCTTCTTCTTCCTCCTCTTTCTTCTTCTTTTTCTTTTTTCTTCTTCTCCTTCCTGTTCGATCTTCATATTCTCATCATCTATGTGGTGCTCTGTTTGCTTTTTCTTAGAATGATTTTGATTTCTCTTAATTCTTTTACTTTTTTAAAAAAAAATCTCACTTGTAACCATTTAGATTCAACGTGAGGTTTCAACCAACAACATTTTTATTTGAGTTGTACGAAGTATTATGATTTTGATTAACGTAACTGGGATTGGATTTGAATTTTATTTATTAATTTGGATTTTTTGTGTTTGAATTTTTTTTCAGAAAAATGTCACTTATAATCTGAGAACGTCAAAATTATTGGTTATTTGAAAAAACTGTCATGTTTGTGGCAGTATATTTATCCGGATGACAATCTGAAAATGTCATATGTCACTAAGAAAATGTCATTCTTATGGCATTTTATGTCATTTTTTATGACATATTTGAGAATGTCATGTTTTGAAGAAAAAATGTCACTTTTATGGCAGTACTATGACAATCTTACTTTGAAATTATAACATATGTAATGTCATTTTTTCAAAGTGAGATTGCCATCTTTATAAACATGATGCCATAAAAGTGGCGTTTCTTCTAATAATTTTGACATTCTCAAATTACAAAAGTGACATTTCAAGAATTTACAAGAATTAAACAAAATTGGAAAAAAAAAATCAAATATATTCGATCATGGTCATACGTTGAAACTCACTTTTCATGTCAATTTTAAGATCCAAAATACTATTTTCAATTGTTAATAGAAAAAAATTGAAAAAATTAAAATACAGAGAACCTAAAACGAGAAGAGGAGTAAGAAGAAGAAAAGAAGAAAAGGGAAAAAAGAAGAAAAGGAAGAAAAGAAGAAGAGTAGCAGATCGTTCCAAGAGTAGCAGCGGCTCCATACGGAAGCTTGGAGTTTTATATTGAGGGGCAATTTTGTCAAGCTGCTATATTTTAGTCCTAAAAACGTTCAAAAAAACATGGTAGTCCTAGTTTTGAATTTTTCTATTGTTTTGATCCTATTTAGGGAATTTACTCGTGTAAATTTTATGCATCAATTGTCAAACATGAAACATCCATGTTGGAGAATCTCAAAGTCCAAACTGTGAACTTAATTAATGAACGGAAGTGGAATTTTATTTTCATTTGACTTATATATAATATATGTACTCATGTAGTCATGTGTATTAATTAGATGCTATATTTTATGTCTCACAAACCTCCATTATCTCTTATTGCACTAACTAAGTATGCTCAAGTTTAACATAGTAATTTAATACGCGTGAAGTATGAAACTACCTATAATATAAAAATCAAATGAAAATATTGTTTGTTAAAAGTACATTATAAGAGTATAATTTGTTCAACATAAAAACAAATATACTTAGTATCCTTCCTTCCGATATAGTTTGATCATATGGACTTTTCTTGATCAATAATGACCAAATTTTATTAATGCTAGCTATCTTTTAAAATGAAATTATTTAAAATTTGAAAGTTATATGTAAATGTTATTTTTTCAAAATACTTTCATAAAAGTATACAGATTATTAACTTCAGACAAATATAATAACTAAAAGGGAAAACTGCCATAAATAGGAATAACATATCTCTATATGTACAAATAAGACTCTTTTGTTTATCTTCCCGAAATACGACTAAAGTATACTCTATTTTCATATTATACCTTTAACATAACTTAATAGCAAAATAATAATTCAATTTGTAATTAAAACGTAGAAATAATAAAAATTATTTTCATTTATAATAAAATTGTAAAAAAATTAAAAAAAAATTAAAAATATAAAATAATAAAACTTAAAATAAATTTAAAATTTTAAAATGTTTTTTTAAATAAATAAAAATAGATGAAAACACAAAAAAAATAAAGGTAAGGAGACCTTTCATGGTGTCTCTGCTACCTCCCAACAACGGCACCTCCGATTGGTGAAAAATATGCGATTTTATGTAAAAGTGCCACATTTTCTCTAAAATGTCATTAAGATGATATTTTTACTTTTTGAGAATGCCACTTTATTCTCTAAAATTTCCATCAAGATGGTATTACTTATACATGTTGGCATTTTTTGGTAGTCGGAGCTGGTGGTACTAGGACGTTGTTGAGGCGGTAGCAGAGGCCTGCATATTTTATATTTATTTTTACTTTTTTATTTGTTTATTTTTTTTAAGTTTTGTAATTATATTTTTCTACCTTTTATTTTTCTAATTTTTAATTTTATTAATTTCATTTAATATTTAGTTTTTTTTTACATTTTTATTATAAAAAGTTACGTTATTACTTTTATGTTTGAATTATAAATGAAATATGAATTTAATTAAAACAAAGCAAGGGTAGGATTAGAAAGGCAGTCCTATATAGGGAATTTAAAAAAAAAATTATATTCATATTTTTGCAAATAAAGTTTCATTTAGTCCTATTTGAGGAATTTCCCCTAACTAAAATCATTGATCAAAACTTATTATCATTAATCAATAAAAGTCAATTTGATCAAGTTTTATGAAACAAAGGAAAAATTAATTAAAATTATTGACTAAACTTTACAACCAATTTATTATAAACAAGATAGTACCCTACTTATATACCATAAAAATCCCTTTTGATTTGCAATTTCCCTTTTGAATTCAAAAAATAGACCCAACATTATAAATAAGGTTTTTTTACAAAAATATTACAAAAATAAAACTTATTTTTGCAACAACGGTTGAGTTTTACAAAAGACTAAGGATGTTATTAATTGAATTGTTTTAATCTTGGATCAAGTAAGATCAAATCAAATCAAATTAGACCAGGTTAGACAAGAATAAATCAGATTTTAAACAAAACTAAGGTACACAAGTCATAAAAAAGGTACACAATTCATAAAACAACGTATTACTTGACTTATCACCAAAAAACGTATTACTTGACTTGACCAAATGAGACCAACTCAAAACAAATCAGATTAAACTAGACTTGATAAAAAAATCAAATCAATTCAAAAACATTATCCACCACTCCACCGTTCATGCATGTGAGGCACGGTGATGCTAGATGAGGCGATTACATTGTCGGATGTGGCGGAAATGACGCTGGACATGGCGATGATGAAGCGATCGGTGGCGCCTGTTGTACCATAGATGGTTGTGGTCCTGCTGCATGTGCCAGAGGACTGCCCCGGCCCATGCGTGTTTGGACCTCTCATATTTTCTTTTATTATTTTATTTCGTCCTACGAGTTAATGTCATTTTCACATTTAGTCCACGTCTTTCGGTTTGTCAACTCTTAGTACTTGTTTAATGTTTCTTGATCATTTGTTGCATGCCCTTCTCCGGCGATTTTAACTACCGAAATTATTGTCGGAAGGACCATATATGGGCGGAAACACAATAATCATGTACCAAAAATGATCAAAGTTAAAGACGTGGACTAATTGTGGAATCCGTGTGATACTCGTAGGATCAAAAGTAGAATTTATTCTATTATATACTACGTATAAGCTAATTATTTAGTAAGGGTAATTTTGTCAACCGCTTCTATTTATCCCTACGAAACATTGGAGTTTTATTGTTGCACTTATAAGGTATAACAAGTTTTACTCGGTTAGCTAGCTAGGAAATTATCTCAATATTATACGTAGTACTACATCACATTATTATGAAAATTTATATGAAAATACATTTCAAGATCAAGTGAGAATCAAATAAGAAGTTGGATTCGACTATGTTGTAGTAAAAGAGTTTTATGTTGCATTAAAATATGAACTATGCAGTGTCATTTTTATAAATGCTTGTGATACACCTCTTTAATGCAAAATAAATCTGTTTTAATGCACCATCCCTCAAATCCTGGGGCAATACGAAACTCCTTTAGTGCAAAATCCGGCGCTCACAAAGTTTAAATCTTAGTGCAATATAAAGTTTTTTTTATGCAACATCGTAAAGCCAACGATTGAGATTCATTATCATTTCTCATATTATATGTATTTCCCATTTCTGAACCAATCTTTCAAAACCCATATATAGGAGAAAAGCAAGTTCTTAGTTTACAAATCAACATGACAGCTTTGACCCAATTGATACTTCGCAGTTGACCCAACTAAAATAGTTTTGGGGCTATATTCTCCTCCGAAGCTCAAATAAGCTGGGCAGTGCACATACAAACGGTACCTCCCAGATATGAAGCTCCCCACTTTCCACCGTATCTCTCCATCAACTCTGATGTTGATCATCACCATCCCAGATCGCTCGTCTTGGCTGAGCTCCTCCCCGATATAAGGCGCCACCAGGACAGACCCTCCGTTCAGAAAGGGCGACCAGACAAAGACCTCTTTTTTCCCCTGGTACGAGTCAGGCAGAAGAGTGTCTAGTGTGATCTGTTGTCCACGGTAGGTGGCGTAGACATGCAGGTGGTCGTAGAAGATCCCGGCCCGCTCGTTGGGGTTGCTTGCGGCAATGGTTAACTGCAAGGACGAGCCAGATGTGAGGTTATGGGACATAATTTATATTGGGGGCTAAAGTTTAAAAAGTAAATTACAACCAAAAGATATGGTGATGAGTAGATAGTTTTTATTCCTAAATACGGAGTAGTGTTTTGTATGTATAGTAGTCTCCTTGTCCCGTTAAAAGGTTCTCACTTTCCTTAGGCCATCTCCAACAAGCACCATTTTCAACATCAAAATGGTGTATTTGGCAAAAAAAATGCTTCAACAATGACACCAAATTTCACACCATTACACCAAATTGGGGGAGGGGGTTTGGCTTTAGAAATAATTACATAAATATGACCAAAATAAAGATGGTTTACAAAAATATGATTCATTACTAGAGTAGTAATGAAATCATAGTAATTCATGTTCAAGTTTTGAACTTTAGTTACCACAGCACTATGTTGTAGTAATGAATAGTCATATTTATGTAAATAAGTTTTATTTTAGTAATATTCTCATAAAAACCCTTATGAAGGCATCATTTGTTTAACATATAAGGAGTGTTTAATTGCGAACTGTATGGGTAAAAGATACTCCGTATATTTTTTAAAAGGTATGGGTAAAAGAGCATTTTATGATAAAGTATAATTTATGTTTTTTAATTTTTTTATTCCTGCTCTCCCTCTCGAAAATGAGTTAAACAAATGGGTTAAAGAGCATTTTATCATACTAGTATAATTTACGTTTTTTTCCGCATAATTAAATTTAATAATGGTAAAATGTTAGTAAAAAGAATAAAAAAGGAATATTCCATTTTAGTGATGAAAATGGTGTAAACTGTTGGAGATAAAATATTGTATGATGTGATGTTTACACCATTTTAGTGCAAAAAATGGTGTAAACTATTGGAGATGGCCTTATTAAGGTGTTCCATTTAAAGGTTTTCATTCTATTTTAGGATATAATTTATTGTCTTTAGTTACACATTTACTTAAATTTCTTTTTCTTACTCAAGTCTTTCAATCTACCTTCCCTCACTTACTCCTTTTAATTACTTTCACTTTATGTTTATTTTTTTCTAAATTTTCTCTTTACTCTCTATTTTACCCAAAACACTTTATTTAACCAATTGCATAAAAAATTGTGTCATTTGCCCACGGAAACCTTCCAAACTCCAAAGGGATGGATGGAGTATGTATTTTGATGTTACTTCTTCTTTCTTGAATTCAATTATTACTCACAAAGTCATGTGTAAGTTTGCTGTTCGAGTATTAAAAGTGTCTATGAATGTTTAAATCATTTGGTAAATTTCTAAGTTTAAAATTTCAATATATTAAGTTTTATAGTACATCTCGATTTTTTTCTTTGTTGCTGTCTTCACCATCGGGGGAGGATCTATGTACGGGCTATAGTAGGCTGAAGTCCAGGGTAACTCAGAAATTTTTCAATTTTTTAGTGTAATTTTTTTTTCACATTTAGCCCGCCCCGCTAATATTTAAGCCTACTGTCATTCCTATTCAACCCAGGACATCTCAATTTCTTGGATCCGCCCATGTTCACCACTATATTACCTGGATGTCGGTGTTGATATAGGCGTTGGTGATACTGGCGGCGTTGGCGTTGGCGGTGAGGTTGAAGTCGTAGACGGTGGCGTCTTGGAGTACGAATGCAGGTTTGATAGGGCGGAGGAGGAGCCAAGTGAGAAAGACTCCGAAGAGAATGATAACGGTTAAGCAGAAGAGGCCGATGAAGAGGGTAACGCAGAGCTTCCGCTTCTCATGCTGGTGGTGGGAACACCCCTTCGGGTCCGACATCCAGAAAGGATCGCAGTGATTAGTTTATACTTAATTTATTTGGCTAATTAAGGAAGGGTACTTAATTGTGATGCAGGCTTTATAGTTTATACAGATAGATAAAATGATCTATACATTACGTGTGGGAAGCTTACTGCGGTTTGCTATTATTAGATGTGATAAGCTTCGCCGACCGCCAAAGTTTATGTTTAAAAAACTTTAAAACTTCATTTCGGATTAGGGCATTAGGTTAAGGGGGCTTCATATGCGAGGAAATTACCAAAACACGGGAGTTTCCCGTCTGAACACGTTAGTCGGAACTGGGGAATCCGACTAGAGATTAGGGTTTTCAAATAAAGGCATTACACCTAGTCGGAATTGGGGAATCCGACTAGGGTAATATTTTTTGTTTCGAATTCGGGAAGTGTTTAATAATTCGAAAAAAACCAAAATAAACACCTAGTCGGATTCCCCAATTCCGACTAGGGTGAATATTTAATAAAAAAACAATTAAACACCTAGTCGGATTCACCAATTCCGACTAGGGTATTATTATTATTATTTTAATTTAGAATGTTTAATGAGTGGGAAAACCAAATTGAACACCTAGTCGGATTTGCCAATTCCGACTAGGGTAGGGTCATATTATTATTATTTTCGTTTAGCATGTGTAATTATCCGAAAAAACCAAACCAAATTATTTTTATTTAGAAGCAACCCAACACCTAGTCGGAATTGGGGAATCCGACTAGGTAGTGTGATATTTTTATTTTTTTTTTCTTAATATTTTGGTGAGGTGTTTAATTCCTCTTCTAGTATTTCACCGAACTCCTACACTAATACCGCTATAAAATCAATTCATTTGTTCTCAAAATTTACAAACGCACTCCAAAAACACTTCTTTGTTTCTTAAGGTTACCGACATTCCATATTCACCCAATTCTTTGTTTCTTAAGGGTACCCACATACCATATTCACCCAAAACACTTATTACTTTAATTACTTTCATATATTTATTATTTTTGTTTAGCATTCTCCTCTCATATTATATTTATACTATATACCATATATAAAAAATGTCTAGTGAGAGTAATATTGTTGTTATGGTTCATTGGAATGGTTCTACATCTCAAAAAGATGATGAAATAGAGTACTCCATACCTCCTAGGGCGGTACTATGGGTTAGTGAAGGAGATGATTATACCACTATACATGAGAAAGTTCTAAATCATGTTAGAGGCGACCGATTTTCCGAAATTAAAGTAATTCACGGAAAATTGCCAAAATATAAAAATTTAGTATATGTTGCTTCTAGATTATGGCCCATTCACGATGAGCGGACATGACGTCATTTTTTCCGGATTGCTACAAATGAGTATGAGGAGCTGCACATTTACGTGGAAGCTTCAGCGACCCCGCCACAAAATTTGGCGTTCCACGGAACTCCCGGAGAGGAAGGCCCATCATCAACATATGGTCGGAGGAACAAACGCCAAATGTTTCAGAACTATGAATCTCCCGGTATGTATTGTTCAAGTTAAGTAGAATTTACAATGATTTGATTTTATTATTTATCATTTTAAGAGTGTAGAAGTAGTTAATTTAGTAATTCGTAAATATTAGTTAAATTGACATAATGAGTTAATGAGTATATATCACTGATATTAGTAATATATGTATTAGTTAGTGAATTATATACTTATCCTATCATACAAGTATATATTATCTGTAGTATAATATATTAAATAATACTAATATTATGCATAATTAGGCTAATTAATAACTGTTTAATTTAATATCTTTATAATAATATTATGCGTACCTAATTACTTATATGTGATTTATATTTTACTTGTATTAATTATATATTTACGATATTAATTTAGACGGAGATAGTATCACGTCGTTAAAAAAGCTATATATAGACCGCTAACTTATAATTTGCCTTAATTAGGTTTTTTAGGAGTGTAGACGTAGTAGATTTAGTAATTTGCAAATTTTTTAATTTAGATTGTTAAATTTGAATTTTAGAGTTAAATTTAGCTATAAAATACTTCAAAGTTAGAAAGAGTGTTAAATTTAGAAAGAGTGTTAAATTTAGAATTGGCCTTAAATTTTGGTTTTAGGAGTGTAGGAGTAGTTAATTTTGTAATTTGTAATTGGTTTTAATTTTAATTTAGTGTATATTATACTTAATATTTCTTTGTAATTCAAATACAAATATTATCAAAATTTAACAGATAATAAAAAAAAATTATCTGATAAAATTTATGTGATTATATTTCCTTTATATTTCTCGCATCCACCGCGTCTACCAAATTCATTATTCTCTCCAAACCATATCTATACAAATTCATTATTTCCTTTATCTTTATTAGTGTATTGAATCCCATTTTAAGTGCTGTCGAATTAAAATGTAAAAAAACAATAAAAGCTTGGAATGTGAAATCGCTCCAAAAGTGAAAGTCGACCCGAACTACATCATTAAACTGATAAAATTTTATAAGATAATTTGAATAAGATCAAATTTCATCAGATAAATATAATCAGATAATTTTTATCGGATAAAGTTTAATAAGATAAATTCAATAAGATCAAATTTCATTAGATAAATATAATCAGATAAAATTTAAGGTGTCGGCAACCTAAAATATTCAATACACTTTATTTCTACCTAACTCACCCGACTAAAGAAACACATTTCTTTCAATCCTAATCCTATCCGTTTGTTCGACCTACGCGGATGTACTAAACAAACACATTTCATTTGAATCCTAATCCTAACCGTTCTTCACACCTACGCGGATCACAATCGGACCGTCCGGATCTCCTCTTCCCGTCAAAATAAAAAACAAAATCCGAAAAAAAAAATATTTTTTCCCTAGTCGGAATTGGGTGATCCGACCAGGGGAGGGAATTTTAGGATTTTTTTCGAAACCCCTAACTAATTCGAAAACAAAAACAAAATTTGAAAAAAAAATATTTTTTCCCTAGTCGGAATTGGGTAATCCGACTAGGGGGGGGAAGGATTTTTTTTTTTTGCTTTTTTCGAAACTTTAACTCAAATTCAAAAACAAATTTCGAAAAAAAAAAAAATTAAACCTAGTCGGAACTCCCTAATCCGACTAGAGGGTGTTCAATTTTTTTTTAAAGTTTCGAATATTTTTTTGTGTAATGCGAAGGAATTAAAAAATAATAATAAAAAAAAAATACAAGAACCTAGTCGGAATTGGGTAATCCGACTAGTGGGGAGGGAATTTTTTTTGCTTTTTCGAAACTTTAACTCAAATTCAAAAACAAATTTCGAAAAAAAAAAAAATTAAACCTAGTCGGA